TCAACTGCAGTCTCCTCGATTGGTAGATCAATGTTGTTTTCCGAAGCAATCTCTTTGAGAACCTTCATTTTGCTCTCCAAGCTTGGCATCCTAGTCGACAGCTTTTGTATAGTCTGGTGAAAAAAGAAAACGAAACAAAGATAGCAACATACGAATCCAAAAACTTTTTTTTTTCGGTTCTGATAGATTAGTAAATTTCTTAACTAAAGAAACCATACTTCTTGATGAGACGCAAACATACCTTAGGATTCACCCCACAGTTATTGCGTAGCTCGACGGCCCTAGCAGCAAAATCCCTCCCGAAACGTGAGGCGAAAATCGAGCGAATGTGTTGAAGTTCCGGAAACTCCCCACATCTCGAGGCAACATAGATTAGAGTTGACACAGCTTCTTTCAATTCTTCAGGGCAAACTCTACACTCATTTTGCAAAATATAAAACTACATACCAAGAAATGGACTTAAAAGAAACAAAAACAAACTTGTCTCAACAAATCAAAAGTGTGCTAACAATTAAGAAAAAAAAATTATAAAAAAAAAAACCCACTTTTGTTGTTCAAAAAGGTGGACCCTTTCTACCAACAGATGGCAATAGCCCTCCACCAAAACAAACACATCCAACATGTTCTGCTCCTTGATCACCTGCTCAACCTATTATCAACACCACAAATATAGGAATTCAAAATTACAAGCAAATGAACTCAAAATTACACCCTTTAGGGACAAAATTTATTGTGTAAAATACAAATAAAGCAAATATATTTTTTTTTCTATCTTCAAATCAATCTGATTAACTTGCTAAATTATAGACAAAAAATACAAAACTAAAAAACAAAAAATTGTGATAAATAATTGTATATTACGAGAAATTACCCTGAGAATAGCTCTTTCATGGCTGTTATTCTTGAGAAACTCGACGACGTCGGACCGGGCAATCGAGCACCGGGCGTGGCGCTGGTTTCGGAGCACGGCCAGCCGGGAAACAGCCATAGCCACCGTGGCCTTGAATTTTGAGGTCTTGAAACTTCTCCTCAGCAGAACATCCAGCTTTTTCCCCATTCTCGTGTTTATCTTTATCCCAATGTTTTTTTTTTTCGGTTATATGTATTTATTTCAGACGACTATTGTAGAAGACAAAAGAGATAGTGACGTAGAACGTGTGCGTTGGGTGCTTGAGATACTCTCTCAAGACGATGACAGAACTTAGAGATACTCTCTCTGAAGAAGAAACGATCAATTTTTTTTAATTTATCAAAATCTGTTTATTCCATCGATAATCCTCCCTTAAAATACATAAAAGAGTCCTACTCTTGCCTAACATGTTGCAAGAGTATTATTTATTTCCTAAAATAAAACCATTAACTAGGAAAGCACAAAAGCAAAGAAAGGAAATAAAATAATAAAGATAGCAAAATAATAATAGAACTAAATCTTGAGCCTGTCGAACTTAGCCAAGAACGCCAAAGCGGTCTCGTCTCCATCATTCCCCCCCGGTTGAGAGGGATTCGGCCTCGAATCCGAAGCGGTCTCGTCCCCGTCAGAATTATCACCAGAATAAGGCACCAAGTGTTTGACGTTAAACACGTCAGAAGTACGAATATGAGAAGGGAGACGCAAGCGATAAGCATTAGGATTAATCTTTTCGAGTACCTCAACAGGCCCAATTTTCCGGGCTGAAAGCTTGTTATATTCGTGGGCAGTGAAACGATCTTTGGTCAAGACCGCCCAAACATAATCGCCCACCTCGAACTCGACGTTCCGACGCCTCAAGTCCGCACGGCGTTTGTACCCCTCGGTTGTGGCCTCCAAATGAGCCCGCGTCTTGGCATGAATATCACGTAAATCGCCGATAAGGTCCACAGCACGCCTATCACCGGGATCCCCTGCCGGTAGAGTGACTAGGTCGGTCGGGCCACGAGGCAGGAGACCGTAGACCGCCTCAAAAGGTGAAATGCCAGTGGCACGACTCACGGCCGAGTTGTGAGCAAACTCAGCCTGACTCAAACGTTGATCCCAACTACGAAGATTGTCACCCACCAAGCAACGCAATAAGTTCCCCAACGAACGATTCACCACCTCAGTCTGTCCATCCGTCTGGGGGTGATAGGCACTACTGAAATCCAAACGCGTATTCGCCATCCGCCATAAGCTACGCCAAAAATGGCTCAAAAATCGAGTATCGCGATCCGAGACTATCGAAGAGGGAAGGCCATGCAAACGATATACCTCTCGGAAGAATAGCTGGGCAACATGGACCGCATCGGTGGTGCGCTTGCAGGGGATGAAGTGCACCATCTTCGAGAAACGATCGACGACCACATAAATAGAGTCAAACCCACGCAAGTACGAGGCAACCCAACGACAAAGTCCATGCTAATCGCACTCCATGGCCGTGAAGGAATGGGCAGTGGACGGTACAAACCAGCATTCGAGGCAACCCCCTTGGAAACGTGGCACACCCGGCAACGAGTAACAAAGCGGGCCACGTCACGACGCAAAGAAGGCCAATAATAAGAACGACCAACCAAAGCGACGGACCGGTCGCGCCCCACATGACCTTCCCCATGAAGATCGACGATCAACTTCAGGCGAAGACTACAATCCAGAATGCACAACCGAAGTCCCCGAAAGAGAAATCCATCAACGAGAGTATAGTCCTCAAAGGGGCATGTAGCAAGAGATCGCACAATTGGACCAAAGAAAGAGTCGTCAACATAAAGCTCGCACAACACATCAAATCCGAGCACCGAAACGCGCATATCCATCAACAATAGAGACAGACGGCTCAAGGCATCAGCCACCATATTCGAAGCCCCTGAACGATGGCGAAGCACAAATGTAAACTGCTGTAAAAAGGCTGCCCAAGAAGCATGACGGGCCGAAATATTATCCTGGGAAGCTAAGTGTCGAAGGGCCTCGTGATAGAACAAACTCCCGATGGAAAAGATAATGGCGCCAATGACGAACGGCGCGCACCACTGCATAGAACTCCACATCATAAGCACTGTAACGCGAACGTGGGCCAGATAATTTCTCGCTGAAAAACAAGACAGGACGTCCATCCTGACTAAGAACAGCTCCAATACCAACTTTCGAAGCGTCACACGAAAGCTCAAACGGTCAAGAAAAATCAGGTAAAACGAGCACATGAGCAGAGGTCAGCTTGCCCTTAATGAGGGTAAAGGCCGAGTCAGCCTCCGGGGTCCACACAAAATGCTTCCCATGGAGACAATCAGTAATCGGTGCCACAATGGAACTGAAATGGGATATAAAACGGCGATAGAAAGAAGCTAACCCATGAAAACTCCGTGCCTCCGTAAAGGAAGTGGGAGTCGGCCAATCACGAATTGCTGCAATCTTGCTCTCATCCACACGAATCCCCTCGGCCGAAATCACAAATCCCAAAAATAAAACGGAATCCACAAGAAATACACACTTACGAGGAGCAGCAAAAAAAGACTCAGTACGTAACACAACAAGTACCTCGCGAACGTGCTGTAAGTGCTCCTCCAATGTGTGACTGTAGATAAGAATATCGTCGAAATAAACGACGACACTCTTCCCAATAAAATCTCGCAGCGCCTGGTTCATCACCCTCATAAATGTGCTGGGGGCATTTGACAGCCCAAATGGCATCACCATCCATTCGAATAAGCCCTCCTGAAACTTAAACGCCGTCTTCCATTCATCACCCGGTCGAATCCGAATCTGATGATAGCCACTACGTAAATCCAGCTTGGTGAAAATAGAAGCACCATATAACTGATCGAGCAAATCATCCAAGCGTGGAATGGGGAAGCGATAACGAACAGTGATCTTATTAATGGCCCTGCTATCAACGCACATACGCCATGACTCGTCTTTCTTCGGAATGAGGAGGGCTGGAACAGCACAGGGGCTCAAACTACGACGTACAACTCCCCGCTGAAGGAGCTCTTCCACCTGTCTCCGTAATTCCTCATGCTCCGCCGGACTCATACGATAATGAGGGCGATTTGGTAAAGAAGCCCCGGGAACAAGGTCAATGTGATGCTGGATATCACGAAGCGGTGGCAGGCCGGTCGGGAGCTCGGCCGGAAAGACATCAGAAAACTCAGCCAGTAGGGGTCGAACAGCCAACGGAGGCTCGGACTCCTCACTCACATCGCGCCCGAACAACAAGAAAACCAAACAAGAGTCCCGAATGGCCGACAATAAAGCAGAATGAGACAAAAAAAGAACCGAAGGCTGAGAACTCATCGGTGGCAGAACCTGCGGTGACGAAGGGACCAAAACAATCTTGACCCCACCAAAAAGAAAAGAGTATGTATTCTGACGGCCCTCATGACTAGCTGCACGGTCATACTGCCAAGGGCGTCCCAACAATAAATGGCAAGCATCCATCGGGACCACATCACACCACACCTGATCGCGGTAAAATTGCCCAATAGAAAAAGAGATCAAAGCCCGCTTATCCACAGTCACTGTACTCCCACGTTGAATCCAGGCCAATGTGTACGGTTGAGGATGAGGCTCAGAAGAGAGTCCCAATTTGGCAACGGCTTCCTGGGAAATGACATTTTCACAAGCACCAGAATCAATAATGAAACGACAAATTTTGTTACCTATGGTACAAGTGGACTCAAAGAGGTGGTGTCGTTCGCTC